TTCACAAGATATTTGTTAAATTACACTGTAATTTTTTAAGTATTGACGTTTTTCAAGGTATAAGCTCATCCCGATGTTACACTCATCGAGACCTTTCATTTGAAGTACCCACATCAATTTTTCATATATTTATATATATTATATATATGTATATATGAAAAATATATCAAAATGCATGTGGGTACTCAAATGAAAGGTCTTGATGAGTGTAACATCGGGATGAGCTTATACCTTTAAAAATGTCAATAATTCAGAAGATACAAGGTCATTTCTTAATTATGTATCTAGAGATAGAGCATTTTCGAATGTAGCCTAAATACTTATCATCATAAATTGACTATTGGTGAGAATGATATGAAACCATAAAAAGGCACAACTTCAGGTCAAGACTTTTCCAATGATACCAAATTTAACCATAAAAACCCGTTTTATTATATAAATACACTGGCCACAAAATTTTGCTTATTCTCTTAATAATATATATAATTTATTTAAATTAATAATTAGGATACTTACTTGAAAATTGACATTGCGAAGAATTTCTTTCTTCTTATATTTAGCTGATAGGCCTTTGACAATCACAGCATTTCTTTTAGGAACAAATTGACTTTTTTCATATTGATCAACTAATTTATCAATTATTTCTTGTTCTTTAACAAGATCTTCTTCGTTTGGACCAACTGTTTCTTTAGGACGTTTATTAGCGTACCATCTTCTTCGGCTGGTTGGCTCGAAAATGATGAGTATCAAATGGAAGCAAACCGCCTGTGAAATCAAAAGAATAACGTCATTTATTACCGAGTGACGAAAGGAGCCATCTGTTTGCGAGTCTAGCCATTCGTTTAATGGATTGAAGCATAAATTATGTCCGCAGTTGTCTGAAAAATAAATTTATTAATGACATACTTAATGGTTGATAATGATGATGATGAGTTAATTATATCGTAATTTATTTTACTCACAGCAACAAGGATCTTCCAAAGCGAATTTATTGTCACAATCATTGTGCTCAGAGCATTGTTTATTGTACAATTTAATGGCGATAAAATTACCTATTGCACAGGAAAAAACATAAGGTGGAAATATGTGGAAGACTATTTCGGCGTATTTTTGAAAATTTGGATTCATGTTGTACATTATAAACGGAAATAGTATTTCTGGATTGATTACGATTGCTGAAAAATTGAAATATAAAATAAAAATTTATCTAAGAAGAATAATTAAGTATAATAAAAAAAAAAAAAAACCAGTTAATAAGTTGATAATCATAATATAAAAATAAACTCTTCCAGTATGATTTGTCCATAATTGAATGCAGTAACTCATTGCAATGGCTGCTGCTCCGTAGCACCAAAAGATGATAAATAATTCAGCTGAAAAAAATTATTCAAGTATGTACTAATGAATTTTATATAAAAAATATTTATTAATAAAATAAATTATTAATTATTACCTACAACAACTGGTGAAACAGTAATAGCATGTCGGTAAGCTGAGAAACTTATTACAGAGGTAATGAGCAGAGAAATCAAATAAATGATAATGTCAATAAAATATGTCGGCAGCCAATAAACGAACGTACTGACTCGATTGGTATTTAATTGCAGCAACTTGGCAATTGTTCTGGACTCTCTGACACCCAGGTCAATAGTCGGTAGAAGAATGAAGAGGGTTGTGATGACCACGGCGTTTTCCCAGTTTTTTATGCCTTTTCCATGGGCTATTCGGTATTGCCACTGAGTTTACGAGGAAGAATGATAATAAATTTGCTATTAATTTTAAGTATAAAGCTCATTAGGTAAGAATATAATATTTAGTGTTTAGTTACATTATCAGGGTCCATCAGAGGTCGACTCATTAAATTTATTCGAATATCCATCGACTGGGAATTGTGCAATAAGAGTGCGTTGTGCAACAAATTCAGTGATATTGGTCCACTGTGTATGAGGACAGGTGAGTACAGTAATTCTATTTTATTATCTTTTAGAATATCAATTGCCATGAAATACCGCTCTCGAAACTGTTTTAAATAAATAGTAACATGTGTTTAATAATTGAATAATAACAATTTTGACTTTTTTTCATTTTTCCAATTTTTCTTTAAATCATTGAATGTAATTAATATAATTATTGAATATAAGTTTGAGTGTGGAACCAGTTACCGGAGGAGATTGTTACGATTATTGATTAATTACAATGAATTTCGATCTAAGTGTTACAAGTTTTTTGTAGATAAAGATGATAAATAACTTTATTTACTAAATATTCAAATTCATATTTTTTTTTCTTTTCTTTTGTTTTATGAATTAAAGTCATTAGATAGTAACTTAGATAGACTTTGATTTGAGACAACGTTACTTTTCTTACTGTCTTATTATTATCATTTCCATTACTGTTTAACTATTATTATTACTATGTATTTATTTCTATGTAAGGCTCTTAAGGAGCTAAGGCTTCAGGGTCTAAAAATTTTGATAAATAAATAAATAAAATAAGTTACTGATTGATAGCAAATTGTATTATCTATTAATAAATGGCCTTTTGCCGTCGTTTTCTAAGTGATGTTAGCTACAAAATAGATATTGATTAAATTAAAAGTTATTGTATATAATTGTACAAGCTATTTTGTAACTAAACATTTATGTATTATAATGTGAAAATTTATATTTTATACATATGATGGAAAATTAAAGTGACCTTGTTACTTGCCGTTAGCTGTTAGGTCTTTTTCAAAGAAAGAAATAAATGAATAAATTTTATTCTAAAACTCACGCTTATTGAATGCATTTCCGGATGAGTTATCAAGTCCGACGCTGTCATATTTTGCGTAATATGAAGGGGGCTCATATTGAACTTCTGACACGTTTGGTCAAAGATTGTGAAGAAATTTCGAGCATCTTCATCGTCGTCTACAAAAACCAGAGGAATAAATTTCTGCAGGGTATAATTATCAGGATTCAATAATAATTCTCTGGAAGAAAAAATAATTTTATAACTATAAATATAAAAGTTGTTACTTTTAAAAATTAAATAAAACTCACGGTGAATGGATGTTAGGAAACTTTGACGCCCCAGAAACAATCATGGTTAAAATCAAAGCAATCGAGGCGAATATAATCTTGAGAAAAAATTATTGTTATTAAAAATAATTAGATTTAACTAATTAATAGTTACACTAGAAGGTATTATTTAGACGTATATTATTTTACAGAAAATAGATACGGATTCCATGATGCAATAACATGCAGTGTTTTTTTATAGAGCATTGCAGTGAATTGCTGGCGACGTAGGGCACCTTTGGTAACTCGGGTCCAATCATTTTGATTTTGAATTAATTTTCTCCGTCTTCGCTGGACTATCCATTCAAATTTGTCACTGGGGATCCAAGCTCCGCGTTCTCTGAAGTGACTTATAAGCCCAATTCTGTAAAGTACATAAATTTTTTGAATTAATTAATAGTTACACCGGTACTGTAACAATCGGAGTTGTAAATAATGTATTGTTATTAAAATACATTGAAATTTTTATTACATGTTAAATCTTTTTTTTATTTCTTAAACAGAATAATTTCTATTTATTCGTTTGATTTCAATAAAAAAAATTTTTTCTGCCCTCCGGCCGGAAAGTGGCAACTTTCTGGCCGCTGCGCTAAACAAAGTTGCCACATTCCGGCTACGTCGAGCAGAAAAATAGTATACACACCTTGGCCAGTAAAAAGTAAAGCCTCAGACCACATGTTTGTCAACCTCGGCTTCGCCTCGGCCAACAATTACATGTGGTCTGAGACTTTTCTTATTTTACTGGCCTAGGTATGTAATATACTATTCCTTCACTACAATTTTATTTTTAAATGGGAACACTTGAGCCATAAAAAATATTTTTTTAAAAGAAAACTTTCCTTAAAAAGAATAATATAAATCTTAAATGCATTTCGTTACTAATTCTATTGAATTTATTTTTTTTTATTAAAAAATCTGTCCATTAATTTTTTATTTTTCAAACGACACAATTTTTATTGATTATTAAAAATGACCTTTTTAAAAAAACTTTCTCTATTATAAATCAAATAAAAGCCATTAAATTATTTAAGGGGGTCTTCTGGTCTATTCCAAGAGTATACAGTTAAATTTTTAGCTAATAACATTCAGTAGAATTAAAGTTATAAAGGAGTGAACTACAATCAAAAAAAAAATTTTGAAAATTGGATTTTTGACAGACTTCGGAACAAAGGAGTCCGAATTTCATTTTTTGATCCAAAAAAAATAGAAATTTTCAAAATTTTTTTTTTCTACTGAATGTTATTAGCTAAAAATTTAACTGTATACTCTTGGAATAGACCAGAAGACCCCCTTAAATAATTTAATGGCTTTTATTTGATTTATAATAGAGAAAGTTTTTTTAAAAAGGTCATTTTTAATAATCAATAAAAATTGTGTCGTTTGAAAAATAAAAAATTAATGGACAGATTTTTTAATAAAAAAAAATAAATTCAATAGAATTAGTAACGAAATGCATTTAAGATTTATATTATTCTTTTTAAGGAAAGTTTTCTTTTAAAAAAATATTTTTTATGGCTCAAGTGTTCCCATTTAAAAATAAAATTGTAGTGAAGGAATAGTATATTACATACCTAGGCCAGTAAAATAAGAAAAGTCTCAGACCACATGTAATTGTTGCAAAAAATGAAATTCGGACTCCTTTGTTCCGAAGTCTGTCAAAAATCCAATTTTCAAAATTTTTTTTTTGATTGTAGTTCACTCCTTTATAACTTTAATTCTACTCAATGTTTTTAGCTAAAAATTTAACTGTATACTCTTGAAATATGTATAAATAAATGGTAAAAAGTTCCAAGTTCTATCTCTTCATTGGTCTTTACAAAAAAATGCTCAAAAATTAGGACGTCAGACCAAAGGAGCCCCTTAAATAAAAATATTTCCCTGATAATAATTGATGTAAGCTTAATTAAATAATTTAGACCTGCGAAATTGTCCTTCAATACTCGCTGCTTGAAGTGAAACCGCATTGATCCTCAAATCATCTTTATTGCTTTCCAAAAAGCTCAACAAATGGGCGAACCTCGTGTTTCTCGAGATATTAAAATTGACCATCATCCCCATTTTGCCCATGAGACTGACAGGATCAGGAGAATGTTCCTGGATCAGCTTCTGAAGACTCGGAAGATCACACTCTGGCTTAATGACCATACTAAGATCATACCCTATGTTATAACGTCGGTTCAAATAAGCCTTCGACCCATAGCACTCGATTCTTCCATTCGCGATGATCGCGATCCTGTCTGCGAGTGTATCAGCGGCTTCCATAGAGTTGGTCGCCATAATTATCGTCTTCCTGCCTTTGAAAGTTCCCAGAATTTCCCAGAGCCGTTTCCGATGCTGAGGATCCACTCCGTAAGTTGGTTCGTCCAAGATTAGCACTTCCGAGTGGCCTATTAGCGCAATCGCCAAGCAGAGTCGCCTTTTAGCCCCGAAACTTATCTCTTTTACTTTGAGTTTTCTCTCAGCCTTCAAGCTGAACAGTTTAATCATTCGCCTTGATTCTTCTTTCGACTCACGCAGGCTCATTCCTTTCATCTACACAAAATAATAAAATAAATAATAATGTTATATTACTTTTAGTACTCATATAAATTTATTTACATTTCGCACTTAGTCACTAATAAAACTATAAAACGATTTCAATGTTTTTTCAAAGGAAAAATTCCCCCGTTAATTTCCTCCATTGTAAATGACTGATAATTAAATTCTTTATCTGTAGTACTTTCTAATGGAACTGTACAATAAAAATAAAACTTACAAGTGGATATCTCTTGGAATTAATCATATTCTCATGTCAAAGGCGATAGTGTAAATAGTTAAATAAAAACTTACCATCCCGAATAAGTATAAATGCTCCTCAGTGCTTAGATATTTTACTAACATGTTTTCTTGAGGGCAATAACCAATAATTGGTTTATAATTTCTCTCCTGGGATTTAAAATCACTGTAATCCCGACCTTCTATGTACACTGAGCCGTAAGTCGCTTGATACATTCCTGTCAATCATTCAACAAATTTTTATTCGTTTCCAATAAAATGAAATTTTAGTTTTTTCTATTATATTCAAGAAACTTTCAACAAAGTGGCAAATTTTTTATGAAAATTAACTTTGCAGTATTTGATCATTTTTTTTATTTTTATAACAAATAAATTATACGAAAAAAAAAATTAAAATTAAAAAAAATTAAATATGTAATTTCTTAAAAATAATTTTTTGAAACAAATTTTTTTGTTAAGTAAAAGTGAAAATTAATTTAGCAGATATTTGATAATTTTAAGAATTTTTTAACAAATAAATTATGGCAAAAAATTATAAAAAAAAAAATTGACATGTAGAAATTAAAAAAAATGCAATTTTTCAAAAATAATTTTTTGGAACAAATTTATTTGTTTAAAAAACCAAAAAATAATCAAGTGACTGCTAATTTTAATGTCATTAAATAAAATTAAAAAATGGTCAAGTTATTGCTAATTTTTAGTGTCATAGACTTTTTAAACGCAAGTTTTCAGTTTGAAATTTTATAATGCTAAAGTTAGCCGACGTTTTTAATTTTTTAATTTTTTTTTTATGTATTAAATTAGAACTAAAAAACATTTTTTAAAAAATTGCACTTATAGTTTTTTACAAATGAAAATGTTTTTTTATTTTTTTGTAATAATTTTTTCAGTAAAAAAAATTCTAAAAATTTTTAGATGTAATAAAAAACTATAACAATAAATGATAGTTCAATTTTACCTGAAATTATTTTCAACAAACAACTTTTTCCAGAACCATTATGTCCAATTATGACACTAAATTCATTTGGGTAAAAATCAATGGACAAATCTTTCAATACTTGTAACTTGTCAAATCCAAATTTAATTGTTAATTTTTTAACTCTTGCTTTTGGCTGAAAAAAAATATTAAAACCAGTTTTGTTTTATAAATTTAATTATTAATTATATTCATAATAAAACTACCTTAATAAATGGCGGCGGTCTTTCAACAGCCGACCAATTGGTACTTCCACGAACATTAAAATTAACATCATCCGGGGTACTTTTGTCCTTTTTACACAAATAATACCACGGCAACTTGGTACCGTATTTACCTGGATAAATATTGTCCAAGTATATGGCAATAAAACCCCATAAAATCAAATGAAAAGTCCAAGCAATCAACACCGCAGTGAGAGATACTCTGTTAGGAGCCTGACCAAGCTTTTCCATGTCGTATAAATTATCTAGAAGACGTGATTTTATCGTATGAATTTCTTCTTCTGAAATTTAATAATTTTTTTATTTATATTTAATTTTTGATTTATTAATAATTCAGTTTATAAAAATAATAAACATACCGATGTCTTCTTTGTAAGTAAATGCTGACAATCCGTAAAGCAAGCCACTGTGAGGAAGTAACAGTGAAATTATTTTAATGTACAACTCTGAGTAGATAAGTGATTCGTCGAGAACAATTGTAATGTGCGCCAATGTTAACCAAAGAAGAATACAAGCGAGTACGGCTTTGATAGCTGAAATTAAGATTATGTATGCTAGTTAGCTACTTAATATCTGTTTATTTGCAAAAAGGTTAGAGAAGATGATACTGAAATTATATAGGAAGAAAAATTTACATCAAATATTTCTTCTTTAGAAGCTCTAAAAAATGATAAATGGAATTTTTTAAAAATAATTTTTTAGACCTAGTTTAATTTTAAAAGAAAATAAAAAAACTGTCAAGTGTTTCCTAATTTAAAATGAAAATTAAGTTAGCCGACATTTAAAAATTTTTAGAATTTTTTTTTATTAATAAATGATTAAGAAAAAATTAAAAAAAAAATTTCACTGGTAAAAAACTTTAAAAACTGTAAGTGCAATTTTAAAAAAATATTTTTTTGTTCTAATTTAATTATTAAAAAAAAATTTTAATCGTCGGCTAACTTTAGTATTATTATTAATTTAATTTGTCATTAGAGAAGAATAAAAATACTTACATTGGGTGAAAAAAGTCCCGACAGCGAGTATAAAAAACGTCGACATGATAATATACATGAGAAGAAAAAGTGCAAGAATGAAATTTGACTGGGAGTAAATAGCGCTCAATATCCATGTGCAGAAAATTACTGCGGGAACTCCGGTTATCATAATGTAATCGACCCAACCGAGATAGAGAAAGGCTGAGTTTATTTTTAGCAGTCTCATTAAAGCCTAAATTTAAATTATATCATTAATAGTTACACAAGAATATTAATTATTAGCAAGTTATTGGTTATTGATAATCAATTAACTTTGAACCCTGTGAATTTATCGTGAATCGCTTTGGTCAAAGCCGACATGGGAATAAGAAGAAATCCAATTACAGTCATATAAAAAATAAGACTTATGTTCGGTCGTACTGCCGAGGGTATTATTGGAAACTCGATGCGGTAATACGGAAACTGGCCCACTATCAACTGAAAAATTAAATTGGTTTATTCAAAATTTAATAAGAACTGTGATATATATTTGATTTATTACATTGTCGCCGATGAACGGTGAATTTGTGGACTTGATTTTATTGAACGTTGATTCGATGGCAATCTGCATGGCCAAAAAACCACTACTCAGGTAAGGATCTTTAATTTATTAATTTAAATTGTAAGTAATTTTGTGCTTAATCCTTAATATTTATTTATTTTTTTAGACATTACCTGTTCTGCTGGGCTCGTCAGATAATTCACTGCGAATTTCATAATTTAAAACTTCTGGCGTTGTTTCAACGTCTGACTATTAAATAATTAATTCTATTTAATTAATAATTATTTTGTTAATTATTATTTACAGAAAAAAAAAGTAAGACGGACTTTAAGAAAAATTTTTTTCATACTAAATAAATCAATTATTTAGTTATTTTTAAAATAAAAAATTATTTCTATTAAAAATGACTCTTAATTAAGAAAATTAAAAAAAAAAAAAACAGGTGTCCGTCTTGTTTCTTTTTTTACATTTGTTTAAAAATAACAATCTTACCATAAAGAGAACCCAAATAGTATTAAAAGGCTCAGAAGATTGATTATGTCGCTGATAAAAAGCCATCAGTAGTTGTAACTCATTGGCTGCCGGTATCACTAATAAAAAAAATATATATAAATAATTACCAGGTATGAATAATAAATAAAGTAGTAGGTGTATATTACTCGTTGAGTTAAGAAGCACAGAAACTTGTTGCATTAGATTATCAGTGAACTGAGTGCTAGGAGCGTAACGACATTCTGCTTGTGGTGGAATTCTCGTTAAAATTTCAGTCTTGCTGTAACGATTTAAATACTGTCAAAATATTATTATTTACTATTATTACTTGCAATATTTGTAACGTTATTATAATTAATAAAATAATTGTACTTGCTTGCAGTTTGAGAGCCAGCGGTTCAAAAATGAGACGAATTTGCAGAGAAAATATTATGGGGATCAATATTTCTAAGACAGATATTGTAATGCTGCATTTTCGCATTAGGAGTGCTTTTAAAAACAATACTTTCCACCTGGACCAAGCGTGTATCAATGAGGGAAATTTCCTAATCCACTTCATATTTTATTGACTAACAAGGAATATTAAAAACTGTGTTTGTTATGATTGATGACAATCTGATTAATAACAGACCGAAGTTGTCTGTTTTTGAAATTATTTGAGTAGGCTTTACTTTTAAGACAAATGATTTGATAAAATCTGATAATGTAATCTAGAGGCTAGAGACACTTAGACACTTAAATTGCAGGGTGAGCGGTCACTTTAATTTAATTCAGATGTCTAAGTAGTTATTTATAATTTGATTTACCGGCGAAGAAATTTATAATTTTAATCACTGAATATTTATCATTTTTCTATTTTACCATGATTTCGTTTTGTAATTTTACCATTATTAGATTAAATTAGATTATTTATTTATTTATGCCAAAGCCTGCTGGCCAAATGGCAAGTAAAAATAACAGAAATACAATTAATTATAAATTTAAAATATTAATAACATTAATTTACAAGGCAAGTAAAAATAAGAAATACAATTTATTATAAATTTAAAAATATTTATAATAATAATAATAATAATAATTTACAGATTTTATAAGTACTCTGATTTCGATTTTATAAAATAATTATGATTATGATTTCGATTTCTCTAACAATCTTATAAACATTTATGAACTCTCTTTATACATCAAGGTTAAACAAATAGTCAAAAATTTTATTCTTGAAAACCTCAAGACTGGACGCATTTACAATATCAGACGGAAGTTCTTGCCATTATGTTGTTAAATATATAATAAGCTAAATTTTGAAGCATGTGCATACAAAGATTAATAAATTTAATAAATAAATTTTAAACTTACAAGGTAATATCGTAACATTATTACGCATGAATTAAAAATTTTCTTGGTAGACTCAATATTTAATTTTATGTTTGTATTCTAAAAGTAAAAAAAATTTTTTACAGTAATTACAACTATTTATTTTTTGCTAAACGCTAAATAGACTATTATTTTTTAAACATTATTTTTAATTAAAAATCACTTCAGTTAATAAATTTTGATTAAAATTTAATTTATTTATTGAACAATTGTAAATTATATTTTTAGTGTTATAATAATTGTTCAACAAAAAAAAATTTTTTTTTGTTACCAAAATACTTCTTATACATAATTTAAACTTTATACTTACCGAAATACGATTATAATTAAAATACATTGTTTCTACTTACCTTCTCATTTAAATCAATTTTTTTAAACTTATTTTGACATAATTTAAACTATCAATTTACTTTTTTTTTAATTTCAGAATACAAGACCATCAACCTTAATGATAAAAAAAGCACTGAAAAAAAATTATCGTACAATTGTTAGAAATTAAAAATTTAATTTTTTAAATAAAAATTTAATTTTTTAAATAAAAATTTAATAATTAAACATTAAGTTCTTTTTTTTTTTTTTTAATGCAGGACGAATAATATCAGTCAATATTTATTGCCAGAGTTACAAGTTTAACTAAAAAAATTCAAAGAAGAAATAGTTTTTTATTAAGCATGCGATAAAAAATTTGTGGGTTTTTTTTTTTATCAAATGTTTGATGAAAAGCTGTGTTTGTTATGATTGATGACAATTTGATTAATAACAGACCAAAGTTGTCTGCATGTTTTTGAAATTATTTGAGTAGGCTTTACTTGTAAGACAAATGATAAAATCTGATAATGTAATCTAGAGACTAGAGACACTTAAATTGCAGAGCAAGCGGTCACTTTATTTAATTCAGATGTCTAGGTGGTTATTTATAATTTGATTTACCGGCGAAGAAATTTAAAATTTTGATCACTGAATATTTATCATTATTTTTTCCGCCAGTTGCTTTGGGCTTGAATTATAACTTAAGTGAAAGTTTAATTAAATCCCGTGATTAATCTAGTTATTTTTACCAACAACTTCTATCGTCACGTATTGCAAGTACCAACACTTTCTGGACGATTAATTTCACCGATTAATTTACCTCCAGCTATGAAAATTGATTTGCTACAATTTAATGGTACTTACATGATTTATTGGCTTTTAACTTAAGTGTTTAGGCGTTCTAATAATTAATTTTGCTTTTAATTTTTACGAATAATTTTATTATTTATTTGCTGAGGTATCGCATTTAAATTTAAATTGTATAAAATTATTATCGCTAAAGTGATCATTATTTCTGTAACACATAACACCTAAATAATTTTAATTGATTATTATCAGTAATAAGAATATAAACAGGAATTTAAATACGTCCTACGTTTAATTTAAATAATTATTAATTATATTTTTTATAATTAATTAGTTAAAATACATAATGTTGAATGAAGGTTGTAAAAAAAGTGTTCAATGAAATTGATAAAAATTTCAATAAATAAGCAGTTTATTTTATAGTAAAAATTTTTTCGATAAGTAATTGGATTAAATTAAATCAACAAGTAAAAAATAAGATAATTTAAACTAATTACAAATAGCTTCTATTTAATAATCCCTGTTAAAGTGAATAGCAGCAAGATATAATTTTGAATTCAATATTGTAATAAAGTTCGTAGGGAATTAGCCATAATAAATAGACAGTTTTTAAAACTGTTACACGTAAGTGCGAGTCATTATATAATAATAATGTTAGAGTTTGCATAATAGAATAAAGCGTTAGTTTAATGCTACAAATTGCTTTGCGCTTACAGAAAAAGGAGTTGAATTTATTAAAAAAATGCAAGTAAACAATCTCTGGGTGGAGATTGTTCTGTTTCGCTTCACCTGCTGAATTACATTATTTATCGTTTATTATTAAAGTAGGTACTGTATATTATTTATTACTATCACTACTCACGATTCCGGCGTGAATAAATGAGAGTACTTAAACTTTTACAATCACCGTACTTTATTGAAAGAAAAATAATAATATTTGATGAAGCAACAAAGCTGTAAAACCAAAATTACGACTTTATATTTTAAAAATTTATAAATGAAATTTTTCTCAGAGATTTTGAAATTTACGGTGAGTTGAAAAAATTTACAGTTATTTTCACTCATAAACGTGATGTGTACTTAAAATTTAATTGCTTTTACATGTATGATGTCTAATAAATAATAAATAATAGACAGTAGATTACAAATTCTAAGCAGTTGATAAATAAGTCACCGCAAAGTATTTTTTATGTCGTTGTATGGTGACATTCTAATAAACAATAATTCAAAACAATAGGCGCAAAGCGATGAATGGTAATTTTTTTAGGAATATATTATTCTTTTTGTGTTTTATTTTTAGTTTTACTTTGGAATATATTAGTTCAGCTTTAACTATTGTACTATATTTTTTATTTATATTTATTATTATAAATATTCAACCAGAGAAATCGGTTTCTACTTAGTTTATTCAGTCGAGGACATAACAGTTGAACACCTTTTCAATTTATAAAACTCATGTTAAATAGTTATTATGTGTAAGAACTCCTTAGTGTGCAAATGATAGCACTTTGTGTTTAAAAAACATATTTACATTGTTATTAGTAAATTGGTGTCGCATGTATGCATATAATAGTAATTTCTTTTAAAAATTAACGAGTAAATCAAGTTCTCTGTAAATAATATGTTATTTACCAACTAGACTTATTAAATAACATTTATATTTTATATTTAATAATAATTATAGTTATTTTATTACAAGTTGTTGTCACCAAAAATTTTTTAATGTTCAAATATTTAAATTACCATGATTCAGAGTCAATTTCAAGGATATTTTACAATTAAACGGTGATTTAGACGTCGACATTTTTACAGACCAAAATAATCTTTTTTACAGTTCAAAATTAATATTAATGCACATTATTTTTTATATAATAGTTTTAAAACTCGACAAAAAAACTTAAATGTAAGTATGTCGAATAATAATTATTCAGTTAATATTTCAGATTTTAATGAAGATACAATGAAACATTAAAAAAAATTTTAAAAGGCCGTTAATTAACTATCAATTATTAATAAATACCCATAATGAATTATTAATAGATGATAATTAGAGTTTTTCTATTACATTTCATTGATACAATCGCTAGCGTGCTATTAAAACATTTAAATTTATTTCATTGAAGTCTGTAATGAGATTATTGTTTGAGTAAAAAATTTACTAGTGGTTAAAAAATAATTTTTTTCAGCAGCGTAACAAATTTGTAGTTGTCGGATTTGAAAATGATACTTAATAGCCGGTTTTGGAAGCACGTGGAGACTTTTAAAAAGTTTCTTAGAATCCGGTTTTGCTTCGAAACAAATCTACAAGAATAGAACAGCTCTTACTAAATAAAATCATAACAATCGACATTTAATTAAACTTATAAAAATTAGATCTTTTAAAATATATAATTTTCTTATTATTTACATATTACTATTTTTTCTTTTGTTAAATAGTTTATTAATTTAAAATTAAATTTTTATGAAAATTAAGTTAGCCGACATCTAAAAATTTTTAGAATTTTTTTTATTGAAAAAATTATTACAAAATAATTTTAAAAAATTTTCATTTGTAAAAAACATGAAAAACTATAATTACAATTTTTAAAAAGTATTTTTTAGTTATTATTTAATAAATGAGGAGACATCTGACCATTTTTATGATTTTTCTTATTAAATAAATTATCAAAAAAAAAAAAAAAAAAGATTAAAAGAAAAATTTCACATATAGAAGAATTTAAAAATTATTAGTGCAATTTTTAAAAAATATCTTTTTAGTTCTAAATGAATTAAGGAAAGAAAATCAAAAAAATTTTAATTGTCGGCTGATTTTAGATGAAATTTAAGTTAGTCAACATTTAAAAATTTTTAGAATTTTTTTTTATTGAAAAAATGATTACAAAAAAATAAAAAAAAATTTCACTCGTAAAAAACTTTAAAAACTGTAAGTGCAATTTTTTAAAAATATGTTTTTTTTTCTAATTTAATTATTAAAAAAAAAAATTAAAATCGTCGGCTAACTTTAGTATTATTGAAAAATGAAAATTAAATTAGCCGACACTCAAAAATTTTTTATTTTTTTTTTTAAAT